AGCAGTATCAGAATGCTCATCGTGGCAGTCCTCGTACTCAACCACTCAAAGGTACTGTACGTGGTGTTTCTCATAACTTTGGGTCTGAAAGGGGTCATGCTGAGCTACCGGACAATGCACAAGGTCCAAGGTCAGTGGCCAAAGACTTGCTTTGCTTTTACTGTCAGCAGCCGGGCCACAAAGCAGCTGTGTGTCCCGCTCGCAAAGCGAAACTTACAAGGTTTTGTTATGTGCCTAGAGAAGGGGACTGTGATTTTGACTCTGTGGGGGAAAGTCAGAATGTGTATGAGGTGACTGTTAATGGACATGAAATGAAAGCACTCTTGGACACTGGAAGTTCTCTGTCAATGTTGAAATCATGCTTTGTAAATAATGTCAATTATGTGAACACTATCTCTGTTCAGTGCGTGCATGGGGACATGCAGCAGTATCCCCAAGCTGAGGTAATGGTGGAAGTACAGGAACAAATGTACTTAAGGTTGCCATAGCGGACAATTTACCAGCTGATATGATTCTAGGGAGAGACTTGCCAGTATTATATGATCTCTTGCAACCCACCATCAAGGGCTCTAAACATTCTGTTGCAACTGTGACTGTTGATTTGTCATGTACTGCTCTTACTAGAGCTCAAGCCAGGGCAGGTCTTCAGCCACTGCCAGACTTGGATGGTAGTCTGTTGCAGGGCGGGACTAAAGGCCCTAAAAAGTCACGGCGCCAACGGCGGCTTGAAAAGTACCTGGGTACCCCAGCCTCTGAGGCCTCCATGGAGGGTTTTGAAGTTAATGGCTGGCAGGTCCCAGGGAACATAGCACAACTTCAAAGGGAAGATGAAACTCTGAAACCCTTATTTGTCAAAGCTGAGTGTGACAAACCATCAAATCTGTGCAATGAAGAATATGTAGTGAGGAATGAGATGTTGTATGTGCGAACCAATGATGTGACACGTTTAATTGTACCATCTTGTTGTCGTCCTCTTGTTCTGCACCTTGCACACACTGTTCCATGGGCTGGCCACCTGGGCCAACAAAAAACATATGCACGCATTAGCTCACGATTTTATTGGGCCACACTATACACTGATGTACAAACACACTGTAACACATGTGCCATCTGCCAAAAGACAAGTGCTGTGTCCCAGCGGGGCAGAGCACCACTGCAACCTCTCCCCATAATCTCTGCACCTTTTAGGCGGATCGCCATGGACGTTGTAGGGCCGTTGGAAAAGAGCAGTGCTGGACATCGCTACATCCTGGTAGTCAGCGACTACGCCACAAGGTATCCTGAGGCCTTCCCACTCCGTTCTATCACCACACCTAAGATCATCCATGCCCTGGTTCAACTCTTCTCCAGAGTCGGAATACCCGAGGAGATACTCACGGACCAGGGAACGAACTTCACCTCACAGCTGATGGGGCAGCTGAACAAGCAGTTGGGCATTACAGCCATCCGAACAACTTCTTACCACCCGCAGACGGACGGTCTTGTGGAGAGATTTAACCAAACTCTCAAGAACATGCTGCGGAAGTTTGTTGCAGACACAGGACGAGACTGGGACAAGTGGCTACCATTTGTTCTCTTTGCTTACCCCTGGACCTGCTAAATAAAACCTGGGAGGAGGAACCTGCATCCAAGACGGAGGAAAAAGGTATTGTGCAGTACGTGCTAGAGATGCGAGATCGTCTGGAGCAGTACAGCGAGCAAGCCAAAGAGAACCTACAGGAAAAGCAGCAAGCGCAGAAAAGATGGTATGACCAACACGCCAGACTACGACAGTTTCAACCTGGGCAGAAGGTATTACTCCTGTTGCCAACTTCAACGAGCAAGCTACTGGCTAAATGGCAAGGGCCATACACCGTGGTCCGCAAGATGGGGCCAGTCACATATGAAGTTCATCATCCAGACAAGGGCAAGACCAGGCAGACCTACCACGTGAACCTGCTAAAGGAATGGAAGGTGCCACCTGGTAAGGGACCGGAAACATCACTTCTTGTGAGGAAGGTGGAGATAGACAAGGGAGAGGATTTAGAGGATGCAAAAAGACAGCCGTCTGTGGTGAGTCTAAATCACCTAGAAGACTCCAAAATAAAAGAGCTGCACCACCTCCTGAGCCAGTTTCCTGCTTTGTTCTGTCAGAGGCCTGGACGGACTGAGCTGACCCAACACACCATCCACCTTTCCGATCCATCACCATCACGCCAACGTCCTTACCGGGTGCCTGAGAGGCTGGTGGAACGCTTGGAGGAGATCAAGCTTATGAAGGAGCTAGGAGTGATTGAGCCTTCAATGAGCGAGTGGAGAAGCCCAATGGTGATCGTCCCCAAGAAAGACGGATCCCTGCGTGTCTGCCTCGACTTCCGCAAGCTCAACACCCAATCTAAGTTTGATGCATACCCCATGCCAAGAGTGGATGATCTGCTGGAGAAGATTGGAAGAGCCCAGTACATTACCACGCTAGACCTATGTAAGGGGTACTGGCAGGTACCCCTCAACGCTGAGTCCAGACCCTACACTGCATTCCGAACACCTCTAGGACTATTCCAATTCACGGTCCTTCCTTTTGGCCTTCACGGGGCACCAGCCACATTCCAGAGGTTGATGGACAAGGTACTCCAAGGCTGTGAAGACTGGTCTGCGGCATACCTGGATGACGTGGTAATCCACAGCAACTCTTGGGCAGAGCATCTCCAACAAACCTTAAAGAGGATAGAGGAAGCAGGATTGACATTAAATGTTTCAAAATTTGAGTGGGCAAGGCAAGAGGCAAACTACCTGGGTTATCACCTGGGCAACGGACAGCTGAGGCCACAGATGGACAAGGTGGAGGCAATTCGAAGGAGCCCAAACCCAAAGACTAAGAAGGAAGTGAGGTCGTTCCTGGGACTGGTGGGCTGGTACAGGAGATTTGTGCCAAACTTTGCCTCCATCGCGGCTCCTTTGACCAACCTGCTGTCCAAGATGGTGACAAACCCTATTCCCTGGACTGATGACTGTGAGACAGCTTTTAATACCCTGAAGGAAAAGATGTGCTCCAGCCCAGTCCTGCAGAGTCCAGACTTCTGTCAGAGGTTCCTGGTGCAAGTAGATGCGTCCTCAACAGGGATTGGAGCGGTCCTTGCCCAGGGAACTGCAGGAGAAGAGAGGCCAGTCAGCTGAGGCCACAGATGGACAAGGTGGAGGCAATTCGAAGGAGCCCAAAGCCAAAGACCAAGAAGGAAGTGAGGTCGTTCCTGGGACTGGTGGGCTGGTACAGGAGATTTGTGCCAAACTTTGCCTCCATCGCGGCTCCTTTGACCAACCTGCTGTCCAAGACTGTGACAAACCCTATTCCATGGACTGATGACTGTGAGACAGCTTTTAATACCCTGAAGGAAAAGATGTGCTCCAGCCCAGTCCTGCAGAGTCCAGACTTCTGTCAGAGGTTCCTGGTGCAAGTAGATGCGTCCTCAACAGGGATTGGAGCGGTCCTTGCCCAGGGAACTGCAGGAGAAGAGAGGCCAGTTGTGTACCTAAGCCGCAAGCTACTCCCCAGGGAGACAAGATATTCAGCGGTCGAGAAGGAAGGCCTCGCCATCAAGTGGTCCCTGGACAGCTTGTGCTATTACCTCCTTGGGTGCGAGTTTGATCTTGAAACGGACCACCGTGCCCTAACCTGGATCCAGTCTATGAAGGACCACAATGCCAGGGTTACACGGTGGTATCTTGCCCTACAGCCGTACAGCTTCAAAATACGGCTCAGACCTGGCAGACTCAACGTGGTAGCCGACTACCTGTCCAGGTTTCCGGCCAGTACGTGGCTTGGAGAGGGGGAAGGTGATGTGATATATATTGATCTGAAATTGATTATTATTGACATCATATAACAGATGACAAATAGAGGTGGTATTTGTTTGTGTGTTTAATGTTATATTTACCTGAGATTGGAATGGCCCAGAAAGGGGGCGGGGTTTGGCCAATATAAGCCAAGGCCAAACCTAAAACGGGACTTGTTTAACCAAGTCAAAGCGAGAGTGCAACTGCGGTGCCTCAAGCGAACCTCAACCCGGTATATTGTGGATACGTGTTACCTGTGTACAAGTATTTTGGATTTTCTCTGTTTTGTTTTCCACTTTTGTTGTTTATTTGATACTTTTGAGTTTTTGTTTTATAGTGCATCTGTAAATACTTCACTGTGGACTAACACTTTTTGGCACTGTAAATAAATTACACCGTGCACGAAAGTGCTGTTGCGAGTGAGCCATCTTTTTTTTTTACATCTTTTACAGACACTTGTTACGTCCCAAGTGAGCTGGGGGTGCTCACTTTATCACAGTATGTAAATTCTAAACATAAAATCTAATGACAGGATCTTCTTTGTTTAGTCTCTTAAGCTCCGCCCCTGAAGCTCACGCTCATCTCAGAGCCACGCCCACATTCCAACACGCAATCAATCCACAATTCATAATATCAAATATTATTAATATAGCAGCCTGCACTGCAAACTGCCGAAGATACACGTCAGCAAAGTCAGGAACACAAACCTGCTTTATGATCTGAAATAATATCACTCAGTAGAACATGCAGAAACTGAGAAATACATTGTTCTATATTGAAAAACATGACGCGTTTGTTGAATGTTGAAATAAAATGTGAATTAAATCATTAAATTACCAGATAAAAAGTTGTGTTTCGAGAAAAAACTACATTTTGAGAAAAAGTCGAAAATAAAATGCTGAGAAGAAACGCACTGTTGCCGTGTTGGACGGTGTTTATCTGCGTCACCCTCCAACGAGATCATGTTATGAGTTTTTTCTCGAAACACAATGACTTTATTCTCGAGATGGTTTTATTGTTTTCATTCTTGGCCCTAATCCTCTTCCGTGCAAAACCTTTACCAAGTTTCATACCAAAACAAATTCCGCACCAGTTCAGTCACGACGTCACGATGCAGAACAGGCTTCACGTGTGATCCTTGCATGTAACGTGTTTGAGCTCTGATCGTGTGTGTGTTTGTGTGTCTGTAGTTCCGGCAGGCGGTTTATAAACAGACCATGAAGCTCTTCGCCGAGCTGGAGATCAAGAGGAAAGAGCGAGAAACGAAGGACATGCATGAACGGTACACACACACACACATGTCACGTCTGTGGTCATGTGATGTGGAAACAGGCGTGAACGAGCGTCCTCTGATTGCAGGAAGAGGCAGAGAGAGGAGGAGATCGAGACGCACGAGCGCGCCAAGAGAGAGCGAGAGTGGCAGAAGAACTTTGAGGTGCGTGAGCGAGACGTTCAGCATACAAGAGCGTGACGCGCCCATCTCATCACGTGTGTGTGTGTGTGTCTGTGTGTGTGTGTGTCTGTCTGTGTCTGTGTCTGTCTGTGTCTCTGTCTGTGTGTGTCTGTGCGTGTGTGTGTGTGTGTCTGTCTGTGTCTCTGTCTGTGTGTGTCTGTCTGTGTCTGTGTGTGTGTGTGTGTGTGTGTCTGTCTGTGTCTCTGTCTGTGTGTGTGTGTGTGTGTCTGTGTGTGTGTGTGTGTGTGTGTCTGTCTGTGTGTCTGTCTGTGTCTCTGTCTGTGTGTGTGTGTCTGTGTCTGTGTGTGTGTGTGTGTGTGTGTCTGTCTGTGTCTCTGTCTGTGTCTCTGTCTGTGTGTGTCTGTCTGTGTCTCTGTCTGTGTGTGTCTGTCTGTGTGTGTGTGTCTGTCTGTGTCTCTGTCTGTGTGTGTCTGTCTGTCTGTCTGTCTGTCTGTCTGTCTGTCTGTCTGTCTGTCTGTCTGTCTGTCTGTCTGTCTGTCTGTCTGTCTGTGTGTGTGTGTCTGTCTCTCTCTGTGTGTGTGTGTGTGTGTGTGTGTGTGTGTGTGTCCTCAGGAGACGCGTGATGGACGTGTGGACAGCTGGAGGAGCTTCCAGTCCAAAGGCAAGACTAAGAAAGAGAAGAACCGCACGTTCCTCAAGCCGCCCAAAGTCAAGATGGAGCAGCGCGAGTGAGAGTCCTCAGCTTCCATTCCTGACACCGGCTTTCCTTCTGCAAATAAACATTCGTTTGTAGATATTTCGTTGTAGTTTTTATATTGTACACCATTAAACCTTGGTTTTTGTCCAACTGTATGAGTTTCATGTTATTCAGCTGTTTGTTTGAGGAATTGTAATATTAAATGTGCATCTGATGCTTCACTAGTGTTATAGTTTCATTGAGAGAGTTTGTATTAATATAAAAACTTACAATTACAACAAAAATATAGAAATTTAATTATATTTAAGTTGTACTTTTAAGGTTTTGGTAATTTTATGTTTTTGTAATATATAATTTCAAGCTGGGTTGTTTTTTTTCTTCCAATTTTAAAAAGTTCCCTTGACAACTAGCTAAAATAGTTTATATATATATATATATATATATAATCAGTTATTTTTTTAAATCTAAAAAATAATTCTAAATGTGCAACTAAATGTCTAAAATGTGATCTCATTTTAATGTTTCTTTATGTTTTATTAACATATAATAACCCCATGCTGTAAATAAATTTTTTTTATTTTTAATATATTATAAATTATTAAAAAAGTTATGAATATTTTAAAACAATATAAAAAATGGTGATGGATGACAGGTCACAGACTTTATTTCACAACTGGAACAAAAATGAGGCCCTCAGTGTTGAACAAATAGTCAGTATGAAAATATCTGTATAATAATGGAATCTCAAACAGAATCTAGCTCAGCTCTGAGAACGTGAACTCATCAGTCTGATATTAATGTTCGTGCTGCAGGTGTCGCTGTGAGTCTGATGAGCTTCAGTGTCTGAGATTCAGATTCTTATTATTACTCCTGATATCTCATAAACACCTGCCAGTCACTGTTAGCTGGACCCTGATGCTCTCACGTCTTATGATGCAGAAATAACAATGAAACTGATTGATTCAACATGAAATACCTTCATGAACGGAAGACTTAAGGCCTTGATTTTATATACAACCCCTGTATCATATGTAGATGAATTCATTCAGCAGACAGGTTTATTCAGAGTGATGTAGGAATGAGGAGCAGCTCAAGCTGTTAGTCTGACTCTTACATCACAATTCAATACTTTTCTCTCTCGTGTGGCGTCTTCAGAAACATTCTTGAAGAGAAAAAAATCTGATGAAGTAAAACATTTAGAGAGAAATATGATTTTTGAGAAACAGAAAATAAAAAAATGTGTTTTTGGAAAAAAAGTTTTTTTGGAGCGAGAAAAAAGGTTTTGCACAAAGATAAAATCTCTCAAAAAAAGTTTTTTCTCTTCGGATTTTTTGTTCTAAGCGAGGAAAGTTTTTTTAAGAGAAAAAAAATCTGATGAGAAAATTTTTGGAGTGAAAAGTTTTTACAAAAAAATGAAACAAAAAAAGATTTTAGAAAGAGAAAAAATATAATTTAAGGGGGGGAAAATCTGATGGGATAAAACATTTAGAGAGAAATACGATTTTTAAGAAATGGGGGAAAAAATTATTTTAGAAAAAAATTCATGAAAGAAAAATTTTTTTGGAGCAACATTTTGGAAGAGAACAGGGTTTTGTACAGAGAAAAAAATCTGAAGAGAGAAAATTGTTTTTGGAGAGAAAAAAAAATCTGATGAGAAATTGAGTGAAAAAAGTTAGTCCATACAGTCAATATATTCATATCCCGCAGGCAGAAAACAAATCCAAAAACAAAGGTTTTGCAGAAACAAGAATATAATCCACAGCTTCACTTCACAAGTATTTGATCCTCTTCTATGCCATGCTGCTCATCCACTAAAGGCTTCATGCTATCATTCAAGCAGGACTAGCACACTTAGCAGTGAACACAACATGAAGTTAAACTCAGAGGGAGTGCTGATCTCAAAGTGAACCCATGAACCACTTCTGCTTGCAGTTAATCATGTGGCATGAAATCCCATGAAGATGTTGTGGGTTAAACAAAGGATAGCTTCCCTTTAACACAGATGGTGTTATAGTTTAAAATGTGTAAAAACTTTCAATGAATCACATCATATTTGAACAATAACAAAACGAGCTTACGATAGAATTAAATCCACCTCCTCCTGACTGATAACACTACTCTAGCCTGCTGGATTTTATAGACAGCTCTAATGAAAACACTTCATTAAAAAAATTATTTAGTTCATTCTTGTGTGTTAAGGGTTTGATTATACTTAAAACACATAACACAAGCACTAATATTTAATTGTATTTAAGTGTTTATTATTTATTTAAAAAAAAAGGTATTTCTAAAAAAAACATTTGCATTTGTTTTGTAAGTTTGGTCTGAGTTCTTGATGCTTTCACAAGGTTTTCACCAGCAGGTGTCGCCAGCGCGTATAGACAGCTCTAATGAAAACACTTCATTAAAAAAATTATTTAGTTCATTCTTGTGTGTTAAGGGTTTGATTATACTTAAAACACATAACACAAGCACTAATATTTAATTGTATTTAAGTGTTTATTATTTATTTAAAAAAAAAAGGTATTTCTAAAAAAAACATTTGCATTTGTTTTGTAAGTTTGGTCTGAGTTCTTGATGCTTTCACAAGGTTTTCACCAGCAGGTGTCGCCAGCACGCTGCTTCAAGCGCTTCGCAACATTGAATCATTTTTCAAAGCAGTTGGTTCAATTGATTCAATGCGATAAACTAAAGTTGACCAAAAGTCAATTGTGAGTCTAGATCAGGTAAGCCGCCTTCTCTGACTAAACAGGGTTTATTCCTCACTACCTATTGCTCCCTAGTGCCTCTTAAAGGGTTAGTTCACCCAAAAATCAATATTAACCCATAAATTACTCTCGGAGTTATATTAAAAATGCTCTTTGATCTTTCAAGCTGTTTAAGGCACTCAGCGGGTGTTGCATGCATCAGTCCAAAAGTAGTTAAATAAAAAGCGCCCATCCATAAAAAAGTGTCTCACACGGCCCCGAGGGGTGAACAAAGGCCTCCTGTAGCGAATCCATGCGTTTTTGTAAGAAAAAGATCCATATTCAGAACGTAATAATCACTTTAATGTAGCTTGCGCTCACAGTATGACGTATGAGGTCAGCGCTGCGCATTCCGTGTGAGACACTTCTTTTATGGATGGGTTCGGGAAACTAAGTTATTATTATGAGAAAGTTTCTCTTTATTACGAGAAATCCTTATTATGAGAACGTTTCGGTAACACTTTATTTTAAGGGTTCGGAATTATGCGTTAGTTAAGAATTAATTAATGATTAACTTGTTCACAATTAAGCAGGAACACACTAGTAATTAATGATTAACTAAACATTTTAAGGGTCCTGAATTATACATTAGTTAAGCATAAATAAACTAGTAATTAATGATTAATTTGTTCATAATGTACATTATCCCACTTATTACACAGCTACTTGCCTCATAAGTAAATAATTAGACACAAAATATTGATTTTAGTCGAAATATTTGAACGCAAAGCTTCTGTGAAGAGAAAATGTTCCTAGTAAGAATATGGCGCCGACTTCAGTTACCTGGAAGATAACATCATGATGCTGCCATCTTTCTGAAGTCATTTTACCCTCCTGGAATCTGGCTCCGAAGCTCAGGTGAAGATCTTCATTTTGACCCCATTTCACAAAACAGTGGGTTACTCAGTAAATCTACACCCACCGTCTTTCTTCAGAAAAAATATCAACAAAATAAAAAATTCTAGTTTCTAAAATTTGGTTGAATTGTTGAGGTTTAGATGAAGCTACATTGTATTTAGGTAACTGAGAGATTGAAATATTGTTCAGTTTTGAGAGTAGTCGTAGCGAGTGTAAGTGTAACGTCTGAGATCAATCTGCGAGTCCACTGGCCACTTGATGTACTTTACCGGTGTAAAGTGAAAGTAAAGCTGACTGTTTCTCACCTGAACACATTCAGAATGATCTGTTCACAACATCAGACTGCATCAGGATCACCGACACCTGATTCCTGAAGAATACAGAATGAATCCAGACCTCACTGATGACACATGACTTACTGATGAACACGTGTGTGTGTGTGTGTGTGTGTGTGAAAGAATCCAGAACAACTGCAGCATCTGACCTGCTTTACACACAGGCGCAGCAGCACAACAGCGTCTGACCTGGATTTCACAGAGTTTGAGTTCACATCAGTCTGTCTGTGAAGAAGCCAGAAACAAACTCACCTTTAAACACTCTTCAACAAACAGATCTAAACAGCAGCCTTTTAAATATTGCTTGTAAATCTCTCATTATGCTACATTATCACCAAATCTTGGATTCAGTCTTTTTTTTGTCAGCTCGTTTCATTTCATTTAGCAGAGGTTTTGTGTTTCTTTTTGGAACTAATTAATCATAGGCAATATTTCATTAAAAAACTAAATATTTTTGACAATGAAAAAAGCATCATTTTTGGATAATTCACAATATTCAGTTTTTAATGAAAAAAAAATCATCATTTTGGCAATATTCAGTTTTTGAGTGAAAGTAGCCATATTTGAGGTGCATAAGCTCAGATCTATGACTATACGATCAATCAAAAGAAACACGAAACCAGTGCTGACTGAAAGAAAACAAGCCGACAAAAAGATTGAATCCAAGATTCGGTGATAATACAGCAAAACGAGTATGAATTTTGTAGGCCGGTCATTTTTGACTAGAAACACCACAAGTGTAACAAGGTTGGGGGTGGGGGGGTCAGTAGGTTTTAGTCCAATGCGATAACATGAACTGAATCGTCTCTGGGCGAACATGAAAACAAGCTCACCTTACAGCCCTGCACTTCTGTGTTGCACAACAGGTCAAAATACCAGTGATTCTCATCACAGAGAAGCTGATTTTGTACTTTTGTGGATTGTGGTTAGTCAGCAATGGCACACCAAACTAAACCATACCGAGCTGAAGCACTGCACTACCCACAATCCTCCAGCCAGTGAAGAATCTGCCCTCTCTGAAGAACACAGATCATGCATTTGTTCAACATTATGAAACACATATTACATAATCTTCTGTATTTGTGATGTAACATGTGAAATCTTATGTGCGTCTCAGCCCTCCGTCGTGACCCAAATCTGCCTGAGAGCAAAAACAATCAACAGGAAGGATTAAAGTGCTAGTTAACTCAAATTTCTAAATGTGGGGAGTTTTTATGCCACATCAGAGTTATGAATTTAGAGTTTGTTTTCAATACAGAAACATCAGACAGAAATATATATAATAATAAATATCTGCGAGACATTTCGGTCGCTCAGATTCATCACGATCCACTATTATGAGACTGAAGTGAATCTATGGAACAAAACGAAGGCAAAGAAGCTTCATATGGACAATCGTACAGCAATGACATCTCAAACAAACTCCATAAATCTGCCTGTGTTTTATTGGATTCCAGCGGCGGTCTGTGTGTGAAGAGAGCGTTAGCATTGATGCAGATACACTACAGCAGAGAAACAGTTCATTACGAGTGAGCGTTTGAGTCCAAGATGACTGTGTGTAGTCTAAGATTGCAAACTTGTGAGTGTGTGTGAGTGTGTCTGTGTGTGTGTGTGTGTGAGTGAGTGAGTGAGTGAGTGAGTAAGTGTGTGTGTGAGAGAGTGTGTGTGTGAGAGAGAGAGCGAGTGAGTGTGTGTGTGTCTGTGTGTGTCTCTGTACCGTTTGTGTGTGTGTGTGTGTGTGTCTGTGTGAATCATGACTCCATCTGTGAGCACATTCAGCAGTGTTTTCTGTCAATAAAGTGTCCCGTCTGTAGCAGAAGAATCATATTTTGGGCTGTTGCGTGTCATGTGTCCAGAGAATATTTCAGCACCTCGTAGTTTCTGGCATCTCCTTCCACAGACGGTTAGGAAATGTCCACTAAACAACAGCCAAAACTTGTTCCCATTATAAAATGTAACAAAATATGCCATAAAAATTTACAGATGTGCAGACAATCTTCAGTAAAGGTATGTTTGCAAATACAAATGCGCAGTGACTCCAGCGAACATACGTTTTCAGTGCGTTTTGCATCCAAAACATACACACAACACTCACACAACGCTAAAACAACATTCCCACAATGCTCCAGTCTAATGTCTGTGTGTCTGTGTGAACGGAGAACGAGAGCAGAAGTAACATCGGTGGTTCCTAAAGCGCTTCGATGAATGACAGAGTCAAGAAGCTTCTCACCTGAGGAGGGAAATCACAAACAGGTCAGGCAACAAATCCACATATATGTACATTTAATACAAGCTGTCACACGCATTTCATCTAGAAAAGTCTTTGATGTCGCCTCACCATCACATTCAATGACACACAAAGGAATGGTTTAAAATTCATTCAAATAGTACATGATATCCAAACATCATAATTAAATCTCCCACTGAAGATTGACTTCCGTTCATTGTTTTCCATTATTATTATTGTTTTATTCAAAAGAATGTTACAGGTTCAATACAAGTTAAGCCCCATCAGCATAATTTGGGAAATAATGTCGACTACCACAGAAAATAATTTAAACACTGTTTCAAAAATATAGCCTTATAAGACTGAAACGTTATATACTTGCCACAAGATGGCGATCGAAATATTTTGGCTTCACTTTTCAGGACGTAGGAGGCACACTTGTCTAAAACCTGAATTGTATTTTTAACATGACTGAGGTTTCAGAGTTTTTGCCAAAGATTCATGACCACAACAGCATGTGCAACACTGCTCTGTTCATCCTTAAACGTACCTTCCGTCTTCTAATCTGTGTCTGAGAGCAGCTCACATGCGTTTCCTCCATGGTCCTCTCTGCCCTCACCAATCGGTTGCCCGTTGCTCCCCATGTGCTGACCAAGCATGTTACTGAACCAGTTTTCGAATTCTGGGCTGCTGGGTTTGGTGTTCTCTTCTCTCAGTGGTCGTTTTGTTGCGTCTGCATCCCGGCAGCTGTTCTGCTCTCCAAACATCTCCTTCTGATTTAGGATGCGGCTCTGCTGAGCTAGCCGACTATCTCTGAACCAGTGGACAAGTTCTGTGCGAGCTAACCGCGCCTGCATCTCCAGATGCCTGAACTCTACAGGCGAAGGCCATCGGTTCTGGACAAAAACATTTTTGAGAAGGTTCATGGTCTTGCTGACTTGAGGCACAGGGCTGAAGGTAAGGGTGCCAGAACGTCTCTGAGCTCCATTGAGCAGAGTCTGCTGGGACTCCCGTTTAGAGCCCATGGAGTTCAGCAGGGTTTGTTCCAAATCATCTCGAAGAGATCTGCGCTCCAAGAACCAGCTTTCAATTTCCTCTCTGGACATCCTAGTGGTGATCACGAGGTGCTCGACCTCATTATAGGATGGGAAACTGTTCCTCTGAAAACTCTCCTCTAGAAGCTTCATTTGTTCAGGACTCTTGTCCTTCACTCTCTCTAGTAGAGGAAACTGAGTGGGAACACAATGCTCCCTCAGAGCAAATTCAACATGTGACTTCTGGGAATCATTCTGGGAATTTGTAGTTTCTTTTCCATTCTGACTACTGAAGCATGAGAACACTGGAGCAACTGATGACTCTATAGACTTACACTGAAGGACTGGAGTTGGAGATAGGGACAGAGGCACGGCCGACAATGTCTGAATGATGGTTGGTCTACTCATTTGTGGGGTCGCCACAGCTGGTGCTAAGAGCACGGTTACACCATTACCAAACTTGTTTTTAGCAACGAACGAGGAGGCTGAAGCATGATTGCTCAATTGCTGAGCAATTACAGATCTTTTGAGATTGGTGGAAACTATGGGTGAAGAACCAGCTTTCAATTTCCTCTCTGGACATCCTAGTGGTGATCACGAGGTGCTCGACCTCATTATAGGATGGGAAACTGTTCCTCTGAAAACTCTCCTCTAGAAGCTTCATTTGTTCAGGACTCTTGTCCTTCACTCTCTCTAGTAGAGGAAACTGAGTGGGAACACAATGCTCCCTCAGAGCAAATTCAACATGTGACTTCTGGGAATCATTCTGGGAATTTGTAGTTTCTTTTCCATTCTGACTACTGAAGCATGAGAACACTGGAGCAACTGATGACTCTATAGACTTACACTGAAGGACTGGAGTTGGAGATAGGGACAGAGGCACGGCCGACAATGTCTGAATGATGGTTGGTCTACTCATTTGTGGGGTCGCCACAGCTGGTGCTAAGGGCACGGTTACACCATTACCAAACTTGTTTTTAGCAACGAACGAGGAGGCTGAAGCATGATTGCTCAATTGCTGAGCAATTACAGATCTTTTGAGATTGGTGGAAACTATGGGTAACAAAGGGAGTTTTTCTTTGGGCAACACTGAAGGAAGTGCCACAGGTATCTTCTCTTTGGATTGAACTATTGGGGGTTCCCCTTTAGATGGGACAAAATGTACTGGAACAGGTCTCTTCATGTCCGAGGCCACCAAAGAACCAGGGCTAGATGTTTTAGTCTCTGAAAGCCCAGGAAAAGAAGCGATAGCGAGTCTTTCTGGAGGTGGAGCTGGTGGAGGGGGCATGCGCATACTCTCTTTGGGGTCTCCAGTTGGACGTTTGACCACTGAAGCCAAGAAAGAAGTTCCTAAAGGCCGCTTAAGTGTCTGTGCCTGACGGACTGCTGTAGCAATGCCAGGCGTACAAGTAGTGGGTGATCTGTCAGCGGTGATGTTTGATGCAAGGCTGGTCTGTCCAAATCCATGACAAGTAGCTGATTGTGCCTGTCCAGGGTTGTGTGTTTTACCGGCAGGTGCAGGCAAAACTTCACAGGTCTGGTGTGTGGGTGGTATACTGCCATTGAACATCTTCTTACGGGCTTCTTCTACTTCTTCAAGGGACCAGGTGATGCCTTGCTTCAGTCGCTGAGTGGTGAACCATACCTTGATCTGGTCCTCAGGGTGCCTGGAAGCTGCAGTGAGCCAGGAGAGCTCTGTGTGGGTCGGATATGGGAATCTGTTAAAAGATGTGATCAGGGTAACATTGCTGTCCAATATGGGGTTGTACTTGGTGGTGTGAATAGGAACTGCGATTGTTGGAGAGGTGCTGAGACTGGGAGGTCGCTGTAGCAGAGGCGTTACATGACACACAGGTTCCGGAATAATGATGGTACCATTTACGCTCACTGCTCTGATCTCATCCTTCAGCACTGGACTGTCCAGCTCCTTCTCCACATCTAGGCCTTTATCCAAAATGCTGCTGTTTTCCATTGGTGTCTTTCCAGTGTCTTCACCTGCTGAATTGCTGGAGTCTAAAAACGGTCCCAAGTCTTTTATAGTGTCCTTAGCTTCCTGAATGGATCTATCATTCTTGCTCTCAATGGTTTGCTCCAGGATGCTTTGGCTATCCAGTTTGATATGCCTGACCTTAAAATGACTCTCACCTGGGTGTTGCACTTTATTATGGCATGACAGGGACTCAAACTTGTTGGTACTGAAATTACAGATGGTACAAAGGTAGAGTGTACTGACTGGACTTTCAGACTGAGGGATCTCCTCATGATCTCTAATATTCAAACCCTGCTCCGATGCAGAACCCCACTCTGACTGGTCCTCTTCTTCATTGTTCAGTGACATCCAGTTTTCGTGTGTTGTGAGTGGCACCGCTGAAACATCCATTTCCAAAGAGTCTTCTGCAGGAAAACTGGTTGCACGGAGCATACAGGGGTTGAACGACTTCCTTCGGCTTGACATGGTGAGTATGGTGATGGTGGGCAGGGGATGGTCTGTTGAGGGAGTTTAGTGGAGAACAGGGGGATCAGAATGAAAACCCAGCATTTGGGCAGGTGGAAGGAGACGCTCCCTCAGACACGGAGCTTCAGTTGTGAAACTGGGTGTCATGGAGGCTCGTCACACAGAGCTCACCTGCACAGATACAGAACAATTATATTAAGAGAAAATAATCTTACGTAACGCTGAAGAGAGATTCATAAGTTTGCTTACAGAATGTAAGGAACTAGTTGTTTTCTCGTGAATGTGGTATCTTCCAAGTAAAATAATTAACTGTAATAAACATTGTTCTTTAATGTACGAAAAGTATAAAATTTATTAAAATCACACCAAAGACTAATTTAGATCATACATACATATTTTATCTCAATGTAAGTTTCCAAATCCTGCATAAATACAACAAAACTAATATTTCTTTCTCCAGTTCATGTAATGTTCAGTTTAAATCTTTTGTTCGGTCAGATAAATCATATGCAGCATTTAGTTTGATACTTCTTAAACTTTGGTGCTGATACAAAACTTTCCATGCCATTATACGCTTCCAAATTAAGATGCAGAATCCCTTGAACTAACAAAAGCCCGTTTTTAAAGTGCTAGTTCACCCAAAAACGAAAATTATATAATTAATTATTCATCCTCATTTCGTTCCAAACCTGTAAGAACTTCATTCATTTTTGGAACACAAATGAAGATATTGTTAGTGAAATCCGAGAGCTTTCTGACCCTACATAGACAGCAAGGCAACTGAAACGTTCAAGGCCCAGAACTGTAGTAAGGACATCGTTAAAATAGTCCATGTGACGTCAGTGCTTCAACCATAACTTATGAAGCTACGAGAATAGTTTTTGTGCACAAAGAAAACTAAATAATGACTTTATTCAACAATTCTTCTCTTCCAGGACAGTGTCCTTGCAATTTGGTTGGCATCTCACTAAAATACTAAATCCCACTTGATCAAATGACACAAATCGGTTCGATAAGATCAACATTTAAAAAGATATGAATATAAAACATATGAAAATCAATGAATGTAAGCAAACTGTCAATCCCTCACTGAGTAATGACTAACTTTGGCTCTTTATTTCCATCACGGTCATTGTTTAAATAATCAAGTATCTGATCTTGCTCAGAGCAGATTTAGATAGTTTGATAGACCCAGCAGACAACACAAGCAGATTTATGGTTTAAGCGAGACACTACGGGTGAATAGCGTAGAAAATGAACTAATAGATCTTACCATTCTTCAGTTGATTGATTACATTAAGAAACTTTTTTGTATGACAAGTTTTCTGAAATGTTATGTTTAAACATGCAACTTCAGCATCATGTAATGAAATACGCACTCATTTCCAGAAAATAAATCTGAACATTGGATAAAGTCAGGTTCAAAATTCTTGTTTGACTTTGTTGTCATATTAGAGTTAAAGGTTTTTCCAGAGGGGACTTTGGATTTTTCTTTTTAACACTCCATAAATCAGAAAATACTGTCAACAGACAGAAAACAAACATTTTCACCACGTTTTTTTAGGAGTAAAGTGTTGTATAAATCAATGTGAATTATATATGAACAAACCCTTCAGTAAAATCCTTCAGAACAGCGATAGGAATAAAACTCTTAAGTTTTGGTGTATGTAAGTGTTGCTGAAGTGGAAAAACAAACTCATTTTTGAGAAAACAGCCTGAAATCTACAGATGCAAATAAAGTGCAATAATAAAATCAAGCGAATGATTTATGAACAAACCCCTCAGTAAAATCCTTGAGAATATAGAGAGGAATAAAGCTCTAAGTTTTGGTGTACGCAAGTGTTGGTGAAGTCGAGAAACAAACTTTTGAAGATATGGACTGGAACTGAAATCTACAGACGCAAATAGATAAAGTGCAATAAAATAAAGACTTTAATGTGTATTTTGGATGTTTTCCTTTCACTCGTCTGAAACAACACATTATGTAAAGCCAAAAAAGTTCAAAATTGAAACTGAAATCTACAGACGCAAATAGATAAAGTGCAATAAAATAAAGACTTTAATGTGTATTTTGGATGTTTTCCTTTCACTCGTCTGAAACAACACATTATGTAAAGCCAAAAAGTGCAAAATCTCAAAATGCATGAAAATTGTATTTATTTTTTTCTCCATTTCTGTCGCCGATGGAGTTTTGGTTCCTTGCCGCTGTCGCCTTTGGCTTGCTTAGCTCTGAACTGACTTTAACTGATAAACGGACTGTTTCCTATTGTCCTCTTGCATTATCGACACTATTTTCCTGTTTAACACTGTATAGCTGCTTTGACACAATCAGTATTGTATAAAGCGCTACATAAATAAAGGTGACTTGACTTGAAAAAGCAAATGTTTTTCCCTGTAATGTCTCACCTTAAAGTTAGTTACTGAAAGGTTTTGCAGAACAGGAACGAACCAGACGATGGTAAACGGAGACGCCAGACTGAATCATCAGGATATTAATGAACCTGCTGAAGGCTGATCCGCGTGATCGCTGGTGCTGGAGGAAAGAAATGGGCTTTCTCTCTCTCCTGATTAGAAATGTAAAAATATTAAGGCAAGCTTCATTTCCATGTTGTTGTTATGGCAACAGTGAAAGTGTGACAGGCCAGCGACGCTGTATGTTCATTAATTACAGCAGCCTGACACCGAGTGTCACTGAAAGTGTGTGTGTGTGTGTGAGAGAGTGTGTGTGTGTGTGTGTGTGTGTGTGTGTGTGTGTGTGGGGGAGCGTGGGTGGG